AGTTGTGCACACTCCTGGCGGTGATCCCATCCTAGTTTGCAGCACCTACTTGCGCACGGTCGAGGGGCTCTCGGAGGCCAACGTGGAGCTCCCAGCGTGCATCGGCACGGTCGTTGAGCAGGTAGGTCTACCCACCATCATTGGAGCTGACTTTAACCTGAGCCCCGGCAAGATCGTTTCGTCTAGGATTGTCAACAGGTTGGGGGCGCAGGTGGTCGTTCCCAAAGACGTCGTGGGCACCTGTGGCACTAGCATGCTCGATTAGTTTATCGCTACTGCTGGGCTTGCCAAGGGTATCTCCTCCGTCAGTGCCATTCACACGTCTAACCCCGTCACTCACCTCCATGTGCAGATGCAGTTTCACGCAGGGATTGGGAGGCTTCACGGGCTCGTGTTTCGGAAGCCCCCGCCGTTGCCGATTGAGCCCGCGATCGGCCCTGCGCCTCCACCTCCAGATTGGACTGCTGTTCAGTGTGAAGCTGATCGTGCCTTAGATGCTTGCCGCAGTGGTGACGTGCTCGCTGTACAGTGCCTGCTCGACACCCTCTATAAGCACTGGGCCGACCTTTCGGAGAAGGAGCTAGCGAGGGGTAGACAAACCACTCTGCCCTGTTGGGGGAGCAGGGGGAAGATGCCACAGCAGCATTGGGTTAACATCCTTGATCAAGATCGGGAAGTCCCCCACCGACAGCCCCATTTGTTTTCGATCAAATGGCTCGTGAGCAAGTTCAGGCTCCTTCTCCAACTTGATGCGGTCGCTATAGGATCCGCCCAGCCCCCGGAAGTTCGGAGGTTGTTGCTCAACCCTCCCAGTTTTTTGACGCAAGGGCTGGAAGTCCACAGCGACCTTGTCATGCGGGCGCAGTCTTTTTAGGCCAACATGATCCCCTCGACCTCGCCATTGGGGAATCCATCCTTTCCGACTAAGATGAGCACCTCGCGACCTTTGCCGCGAAGGCCAAGTCGCAGGCCCTCGCTGAGTGGAAAGAGTGGCATCTTCAGTCCATCGACCAGGGCGCCAGGAGAGCGCACCAGCATGTCAGAGGCAGCCAGCCATGGACCCCCACCACGACCCTCAGCAGAGATGGAGCTGTCGTCTCGGACCCCCTGGCGCTGCTGGCTTCGGAGGCCCGAAAGTTCAGTCAGCTTTGGAGTGCCACCCCCCCGACCCCCCCCCCCCCGAAGGAGGCCAAGTTCCAATTCGTTGAACCCCTCCCCCGCCTCACTGCTGAAACCCTGCGTTCGGCTTCTAGGCGGTATGCCGCCCGTTCTGCTACCGCTGTTGACGGATTCCACATGAAACAGTTTGCCTCTCTTTCGGATGGGTCCCTGGATGTCCTGGGCACCATGTATTCCATCATGGAAGCTTCTGGGCTGTTGCCTGGGCAAACCTCCCTGGTTGTGCTTTCCCTTCTCAACAAACCCTCTGGAGGGTATCGGCCCATCGGCCTTTTTCTGTAGCTCTCACCGCCTCTGGGGGCGGTGCCGCAGGCCCTATGCGACCTATCGGGAAAGCAAGTTTCAGCGCAGCTACTTTGCTGGGCCCCAGTTTTCTTCCGCGGTCGATGTTGTCTGGAGGCAGACTTTGCGTGCTGAAGGAGCTGTGGCCAGTAGCCAGGCCAGTTGCACGGTTCTGTGGGATCTCTACAAATGCTTCGAGTTGGTTCACTTGGGCACGCTCCTTCAGCGGTGCCATCAGTATGAGTTCCCCGTCCAGTTAGCTCGGCTTGCTGTGCGAGGATATCGGCATGGCAGGTTCATTTCTCTTGGCGGCGTGGTCGTCGGCCCGTTCCATGTCACCAACGGCGTTGTCGCTGGCTGTGGTCTCGCGACCACCATGGTGCGCATTAATGCTATCCCTGCTCTTGACGCGTTGCAGCTGCCACCAGGTATCACGCTCGACGTTTACATTGACGATTCCGGTCTCAGCTGCAACGGGTCCAATGCCTACATTGTCAAGCACCTCCCTGAGGCCGCAGCCAACCTCAGGGAAGCCATCGAGGTTGATATGGGGGGCTGTCATTTCCCCTGATAAGGCTTCCCTCGTTGCCTCGTCGGACGCGCTCGCCATGCAAGTCAGGGGCTGTCTCGGCGGCCTCGCGGGGCCCATCGTCCAAGGGACCGTCAACTTGGGCATCGACTTTGCCCCAGGTTCCCCCCGACGGCTTCCTGGTAGGGGGGGGAGTTTTCCGACCGCAAACGGGTTTTCAACAAAAAAGTCAGGAGGCTCAAGCGAGCCAAGCGGCCCTTTGGGCGGCATGCTGCCAAAGTTTTTACTGCTGGCCCCCTCCCCAGCCTCACGTTCGGGTCTGAGGTTCATGGGCTTTCGGATTTCGAATGGCACAGATTGCAGGCCGCCGCCGCCAGTACTATGCAGCCATCTGCCAAGATGAGGTCACGGACCTCTGTCCTGATTTTATCCCAGGACCCGACCTGGTACCCTGCGGTGGCGCCCATCGTCAGGTACTCCAAGGAGATTTGGGCCAACCAAACCAAGCTCTTTCCCTTTGTTATCCCGTGGGCTGAGCTGAGGGACGCTTGGAGAGGGATTTTCGGTACCCCAGGGCCCAAAACCTGGCGCGGGGTCCGCGGGCCCCTGGGGGCCATGAAGTTGGCCTTGAAGAGGATTTCTTGGAGCATGCCCAACTACTGTACCCTGTTGGATGATTTCGGAACCGAGGTGTCGCTCACTGTCACTGCCCCAGCCCTTCTTAAGAAGCTGTTGAAGGCCGCTGTTCAGAGGACCCATGAGAGGTCCAGCGGCGCTGCTCTGCTCCCGCATATTCCAGGAGCTCGAGTTTGCCATGATGCGGCGACAGCCACGCTACGCTCCAAGAAGGGCACGCCGTACCAGCGAGGTTGTGCCAAGGCTGTGGCTTGTAATGCCACGTGGACTAGGACCAGAGCTGCTGAAGCAGGATACGCTGTTAGCACGGTATGCGAGCTTTGCGGGGGGTGCACCCGATATCATGCTTCATCGGCTCTGGTTCTGCCCAGCGTGCCATGACAAGAGGCAGGCGGTGTTTGACAGTTTCAAGCCAAAGTTTTCCCTCCTGCCCCCGCCCGACCTCACGCCCGAGAACAACGAAGAAGACCACTTACTGTTTACTCGTGGCCTGTTTCGGCATCCAGGGGATGTGTTTCCTTTTCCTGATCGTGATGATGCAGAAGATACTGGACTTGAGACCATCTGGGCCAATGATCGTTCGTCTAGATCGCTTAAAATTTCTGGACATATCTTTGTGGACGGGTCCTGCGCTGCGCACCCTGTTAAAGAACTCTCCAGGGCTGGGCGGGGGATAGTGATGGCAGGTGACGATGGTGACGAGACCTGTCGCATCAATTGTCCACTATGGGCCCCCAACCTCCAGACTGCCCAAGGGGGAGAGTTTGGGGCTTACGCCGTTGCTGCAATGCACGCCCTGCCAGGTAGTTCTATATACTCTGATTGTAAGACTGTGGTCGCACAAGCCAGCGAGCCACTGCTCAGGGCTCTGTCCTACCAACGTGCGTGTTCAGGATGTTTGCTCCCCACCCACCGCAAGCTTTTAGAAGGGGTTTTTAAGGTCAAGGCTCATGTTGAAGAATCATGTGACCTCACCGAGTTGGTGCGGTTTTGGAAGCAAGGCAATGACCTTGCAGATGTTGTTGCCAAAAGCTCGCTAGTCCGCCACCCGCAACCCGACCCCGAGGATGTGGTATGGCTTGAGCGATGCCTCTCTATCGCCCAGTGTGTTATGCGTCTTTCAACCGAGCTGATGGCAGAGTGGCCTCGGCTCAACCTGACAGGGGTCCCGCTCGCCCCCAAGCCCCCCAGGCCCAAGTTTGAGCCGAGGTCCCATCAGTGGACTCGGGTTTCTTCGTTTTGGCAGTGCATGGAATGTCTCAAGGTTGCTAAGGGCGCACCGCGGACGAACCCTGACGGTTCTCGGCCTGGAGGTCTCGACCCGCCTGCCCTTGGGAAGTGCTTGAGAGATTCCAAGCTGACGTCCGCGGTGCTTACAGCCCCCAGGCACAACTGCATCGCTTTGCTATGCTCCGATGGTGCTGCCCTCACTATCTGTATGCGATGCTATGCCTATTCCTCCCATGGGCAGGCTCGCAATTTGCTTAGTGTGGCGGTCAACCACAGAGTGCGAGCGCCAAGTCTGCCTGGAGTTCTGTGGGGGCTGGACGCCACCCCAAGCGCAAAGGCGTTTCAGTCGAGGTTGGCCCCTGGTATGAAGGCTTGGAGCAAGAGGAGCGGCCTCGGCGTCTCACCGTCCAAGAAAGGGAGTTGCGGACAGCTAAGCTGGTGCGGAGGCTAGTCACCGCAGCAGGGGGGACACCAGTCCCAGCTGGCGTTGAGCTGGAGGTCGATCCTCCACCGTCAGCACAACCACAGGGGCAGCAGCAAGATCGAGTCGTTGACCCTTCGTCCGTGCCGTCGTGTACCGTCGTAGCTGCTGCCCCAACATCTCTCCCTCTTGGACCGCGCGATGCGGAAGAGGAAGCAGCCTGTTCGTTGTTTGGCTTGCCTGGTGGGAGCCCCTCCCAGCAGGCCGTGCAGCAGGTGCCTGTGCCAGCCTCGTCGGCTGGAGCGTTCGGCCGAGACCGAGCTGCCTCTGTCCTTGAAGAGGACGAGGCCTCGCTCGTCGCCGTCGCTGCACCACAGTCTGACGACTCAGACTAGGAGATGCAGCATGCGCTGGTCGTGGGCTTAGGGGGGCAGGCGGTGAGCCACAGGGGATCCTCCCCTCCTGTGGGAAATCGCCCCGTGGCTTTCGCGCCTGCCTTCCTATCATCGTTTCACTGCTCGCTGGCCTGCTTCAGGCCAGATAGCAGGGGGCGACGACCTCAGGGCGTCGCTCTTGGTGCCACGGTTGATGTCAGAAATCCTCCTCCTCCTCCTCCTCCTCCTCCTCCTCCTCCTCCTCCTCATCATCATCATCAGCATCATCATCATCATCATCATCCGCAGCCACTTTGGCTTCAGGATAATTCCTCTCGCTTTGCGGGGTGCACGCCCGGAGCACTTAAAAGACTGGGCGCTGGATGGTTTGCCTTGCTCGTCTGCCGCGCTGGTCTGCCGGCCTTTTCTGCCCGCCCTTGGGCATTGTCAGCGCCACAGGGGGCGGACGCGTCGTCCCCGTTTCAGCGTTGGGACGAGCGTGCGAGCGTCCACGAAGGCATTGAGCATCCACCATGTGTCAGCACAAGGCAGCGCAAAGCAATAATGAGCACAGCAACAACGCGCCATTCGTATATACAAATTCGCCTCTTGGTGGCCTCTTGGGGCAACCAAGCGGCCTCTTGGTGGCCTATTGGAGGTTTCTTGGGGGCATCTCTTGGGCCGCCTTGGGGACCTCTTTGGGCCGTCATGGGGCCCTCTTGGGCCATCTTGGCGCCATCTTGGAGGTTTCTTGGGCCGTCTTGGAGCCATTTTGGAGGCTGCTTGGGCCGTCACAGGCCTCTGAGAGTCCAAAAGGGTGAGAACGCTAACATCTTCCAAAAACCTATAGAGAATCAATGATTGTGGCCTCTGGAGGTGCTTTCGGGAATCCTCTTGGGGCCCTCTTGGAGCGTCTTGGGGGTTTTGGGGGGCCCTCTTGGGGCCAGCTTAGACTGTGTTGGGGCCGTCTTGGCCCCGACTGAGGCCATCTTGAACCTTCTTAACGCCCTCTTAAGCCCCCGCGGAGCCCAAATCATATATGTTCTAAGGTTTGTGTTTATCATGTGTCTAGAATGGCATGGTTGGTCGGGTCTGACACAGCAACAACTAAACCCATCACCACCACTTTCGTCATTCACCAAGTCCCGGGCCGTCTTCGGCTCGAGTGCAGGGCCTTCGCGTCGGCCCCGCCGCGCGCCCCATGCGGTCTGGGATTGGTCTCACTTGCCTCCCCCATTCCGCTCTCCCATGGAAGGACAGATTAGCAGCTGCTCCTCCAGTTCTTCTAGCAGCGCAGGCAGCTCGGATTCCGCTGAAGTCGTGCAGCCTACACTCCGGAGTGAGTCTACGCAGCAGAAGGAGTCTGCTCCCGCCGACGCTGTAACGGAGCTCTGTCACAGCGAAGGCGTGTCGACCGAAGCCGATCTTGTTGGTTTGCACGTGTGTGAGGCCGAGTTGGTCCAGCGCCCGTCAGCGCTGGCAGGCAACGCGTCGAGGCGCACGGCTCTCGTCGCGAGCCTTCGGGCAGGCGCTGGCCCAGGCGGCCCGGGCGCGGGCCCCCGTGCGCCCGCGGCCCCCCCCCCGCCTCAGCAGAAGTTCCCGTCGCGCTGCAAGCGCACGCGTCACCTCGCTGATGCGCCGCAGCCGAGTGAGGCTGCAGCTGGCACCCGGACTTTGGCGCCAGCGCCACCCCTCACCGAAGAGGGCGCCCGGCGCCTGGAGCCGCCGACAGCCTCTCCGCACATATGTGGTGATCTTTGCGACCTCTGCGTTTCGGCTGGCACTCGCAGCACCAAGTGGATGCCATTCGTCGACCAGGATGCTCGCTTGCACCGACAGCTTTTCGGGCGACAGTTCGCCGGCACAAGCGACGGACGCATGACTGCCGCGATCCGCGCTTGGAAGCGCTGGCTAAAGTGGGCTCGCCCCCCTGGCGCCAGCCTGAGCATCGACGCATGGGCCGCTGAGCCGCCCCACCTCGGCGCATTCCTGCTGGGCGTGTCGTCTGGAAGGCCCACGGCAGCTTCTGGAGTTCGGCACAGTCTGGAGTGGCTTCGGCGCCATCTTGGCCAACAGTTGCCCACCGGCGCACCGCTGATCGTTTCGTTCAAAGATGCGCCGCCCAGCCACAGATCAAGCGCACGAGCTCCAGCCATCGGTGTTCCTCAATCTCTTGCGGCTCACGCGGGCGAAAATGGGAGCCGTCCTCCGCTCTCTCCATCAGACATTGTTGCTGGCGGTAGCGTGCTTGCGTTGGCAGCACCAGGCACGCTCAAGGGTAATCCGCATTATTCACTTTGAAGGAGTTCAAACGGGGGGCTTGTATAGTGAAAGTCGTTGTCCATGTCCAGTGCTATCTTGGGCTCAAGAAAGCGCTATCCAATTGACTACTTCGCGCCTGCGAAGTACCATTGAACATAGTGTACCTTAGCGTCGGGATAAAGGCCATATCCACCGATGGTTCATCTCTCTATCCCACGTCTTATCTCTCATGCCTCGTCCTGCTTGCCATCAAGGATAATAATATATGGGATACCGTGATACGTCTATGACGTAATCCTAAGAGGCGGGGTCTCAGCTTACTACCTCATGGAGCTCCTGGCCCTCGCTCTTCACCTGGTAGCGGAGCTGGCCTCATTTTTACGCGGTTGGCTCTTACATCAGTTGTTCTGTACATAACAGTTCACCACGGCACAGTGGAGTACCCAACCACGCCGGCGATCAGCCACTACATCCCCAATACCCGTCAACCAATTGGCAACTTACTATCTCATGTCTCCATCTCCCCACCGCGCGGCAACACGCCGCGCGCAGACCAAGCCCCCACACCGATCCGCAAACTGACGGCCACGTCAGACCAAGCACCCAGTCGCAACCCTATGGGTACGTCAACTGGCATATAAAGAAACCCTGACCTCATCAACGACAATATGACCATACATCGCGTCAAGGTTGCCATCTTTGGGGTCACATGGGTGCGCCTGGGTCTGGCAGTGAATTACATACGAGGACAAGGACTGGATGAAACACGCACTCGGGGCCCCCATCGGGGCCCCGCAGGAAATGCACCTTTCCGCGACGTCGTTCGCGAAGTACACGCACGTCTCAACGTCGCAAGCGGAAACATGACTCCACCCCAACAGGCCGCCGCGTTACAGCGCGGCCTAGCGGCCTGCAACTAGCCAGGACACTGGCTATGAGGGCGCCGTCGACCATCATCAACAACGGCTTGACCTTACAGGGTAGACGCACCGATGGAGTCACATATATCATATACCTCCTAAGCACCAAATTTCAAAACCTCGAGGATGAGCGACCGCTCCCCTCGGGAAAAGCCCTCGTCGACTTCAGGGTCGAAAGGGGCGAACGCATCGACTCAGTACTGGCCCAAATTGAAATAGTCAGGCTGGAAGCAGAGTCGGCTGGCTCCAACATACCCAACTTCCAGACCCTGACGCTTCTACTGTTCCGCGCTCTGGGAGTAGGTACCTCCCGAGCATCGCAACCAGTACAACCACTCAATCACCATATGCCCAGCACCCAACAACAACACGACCAATTGCTGAAGCGCACGCGCAGCTATGGACACCTAGCTGAGCGCGCTCCTGACAACATCGGGAGCATCATCAGCGGCCGCAACGCCGGCACTTATCATGCCGAGGTTAAGCGATAGGCCAGCGGCCACGTCGGGCAATATCTGGAACGACGGGGAGCCCACCGAATCTACAACATTCCCAGGCCAACAGGCCAACACTGCACGGGCCTATGGTCCTAACACTGGCTGGCCATCAGCCGCCAGCTACATACCACCCGACGCGACAACCCTTTGGGGCTCGTCCAACCAACAAAGGGACGAGCTCTTCGACTCCGGCACAGACACCGACACCTGCTCATCAACTGGTATTGAACACATCGATTGGTCAGATCTGCCTGCTGGCGACGATGCAGCGGCACAATACCTATACTTAGGCCATCATCATGCTAAGAGAAGGTGGAGACGACATATGGAGAAGCCAGTTAGGTTATCTAGGCGAGCATTGCGTCGGGTCTTCTTTCGTAAGGACAAGGGTCGTGGGAAAGGTGGCAGGCGCACTCGCAGATCGCATGGAGCCACGTTCCTAGCCAGTTCGACCGATCACAACTTTGAGGAACTGCTCTTCGGTGGCAAAGGCAGAGATAAAGGTCGTAGGAAAACCACTGGCAAAGGTAAGGGACGCAGGCTAAATCCCATGGACAAGACCGACAAACGCATGACATGCAACTCTAGTGGGAGCGCCAAACGTTTTCAGGCACAGTGTTCCAAGGGATAGGGAAGGGGGGATGGATCTGCACTTTTTGGCTCAGTGCAACACGAGGAGGACGTATTGGAGTGCGTTGATTTCCCCGAACTCGATCACCCGTCCCAAGCGCAATCAGGAACCACTTGGTTCTTGAATGCCCACTACGCCGAGGCTGCCATGGCGGTCGAGCGCTACGCCGAGTATTTGCCTGACGGCATCGAGGAGCTCTACGACACGCCATACGAGGACTGGGCCGGTTTGCCTCGGCACGGAAACGCGCATGGCAACTCTGGCGACGATGATAACGACGACTGCACGTCAGAAGCGGAGACCACACCTGCCACCGAGACCGAGCCACAGGAACTCTAGCTCGGACACGGGCAAGGAGGTCTCCTTCAGCTCCCGACTCCGACGGTCGTCGGTCTCACGGGAAAAGATCGGGCCGCGGTAGGCTGGGGCCACACAAACGCCAACATTTTCACGATTTCACTGCAGGCCCACCTGCTGGACCAGGCCCGGACACGGGCAGCGGCAGCCGAGGCCGCAGTCACTCGCGCGTCGCAGGCCCCTCGTCACGCAAAGGCAATGCCCGCGCTGCTGGCCCTTCGCACGGAAAAGGCCCCAGCGATTGGGGTAGGGGAAAAGGTTGCTTTTCCTTTTCCTATATGGAGATCGCAGATGAAGAAATTATGGCTCCTTCCTCGGGTGGCCCACGACTCGCCGACTTTGAAATTATGGTTCCTTCCTCCTCAGAAGACGCAAGGGTTTCTAAGCGGCCCCGCCGCTTCTGAGAAAGCCAGCCCCTTCGAATTCCCCCCTGGACCCACCGCCGATCTTCGACGTCAAGTCCAAGCGCTTGGCATCTTTTTCCTTGGAACGAATCGGCGAAGGCGGGCGGCGTCAACTCCGCGGCGCCACGTAGCACGGCAGAGCGCTAGTTGCCTGCAGGGCGCCAGCCCCTTGGCTGGTTTCCCGAGGCCGCCCCGCGGCCCCCAGGCGCGGCGCGCCAGCGCGGCGTCGCGACGTTCGATGTCCACGACTTCCACGACCGTGAGCTGACGGCGAGGGATCGAGGGCCACTCACACAGCGCGGCCAGGCAGGATGTGACCCGTGCGCGAGAAGCACCAGTGGGGAAGCTGCCGAGACGCCGCATCAGAGTCCGATCGCGCTGGTGGGTTCGGCGGCCTCGGCGGCGCAGCGCTACCAATACGGGCCGTCCTACCATACGAAGGCGCTCAGGGAAACAGCGGCCTGGGTGACCTCGCTGTCGTCCGCGCGCCGCTGCACGGCAAACATGACATAGCCCACCATCGCTCGGTGCCTCAGCGCATGTCCTGCACACGCTTTTCGCGAGCCCGTATAAAAGGAACTTGTAAGCGACAACAAGCTCCCACATCGGCACACGCGGCTTTGTCGCCAGAAACCAGAGAAAGACCGTTTCCATTTTCGAATGAGCCCGTTAGCAGACGCACGTGGATCGACCGCACAACGCTTCCGGGGTGGGGTGTCAAAGTTGGGCCTTAAAGAGAATCATGCTTGGTGGGATGGATCGGGCACCTGGGAATCATGGCCGTTGTCTGGAAGCGTGGGATGGGGTGTCAACATTGAGCTATGCGTAGGGGTCACAGCTTTTCGAATGGCCCCAGTCCGCTTGCCGTCTGGACGTGCGCCTTCACTGCGGGTGCGCCTCCTCCTCGTGGGGCTCAACGCAGCTCTTCTTCACGCCAGCTTGTGGTCCCCCGATTGCTCTTCACCCACAACGGTGGGTGGTAATCATCTTGCATGCACGTGGCCCATGCAGGCTGCCGCGATGGTGCCGCCACCTTACCAGAGGACAAGGAGGAGGAGGAGGAGGAGGAGGAGGAGGAGTTCTAGGAGGAGGAGGAGGAGGACGACGAGGAGGAGGAGGAGGAAGAGGAGGAGTTCGAGGAGGAGGAGGAGGAGAAATAATGTTTCGAATGGCCACCGCCTCGCTAAGTCAATTCGTGGGATGCTCGGTGAGCACTGACCCAGACTTGGGTGCAGGATCTTGTGAAGTCCGATTGACCCGGGTTTGGATTGACCCGTGTCAGAAGATCCCCGAATTTGTTTTGGGGATGATTTTTTGTCGGAAGGCCAGAACCGCAGGAATTCGGTCGACCAAAGAACGCATCTTGGGTTCGATGCGTCGGGTGCGCCCTTTGCTCCGCAAGACGCATAACTATCGGAAAAAATTGCCCGACACACCAACCGCTGCACGCGCGGCGGCGGATTCTTCCAGGGACCAGCCCCTCGTCCTGAATATTCGTTTGACGGTCCCGGGAACTGGCGAGGACCCTTGGAGGCCGAAAATTGGCAAGACTGAATCCGCCATGACTTTTGTTCACGGCGCGGGGATGTCAGGGTTTCTCCCCGCTCCCCCACTCGTGTTTGTATCCTTGCCGGTACTTCAGCGCCATCGCCTGGCCCACCCCACGCAGTCAAGACGCTGAAATATAAGGACCACGTTGAGCTCAGGAGGGGGCCTGGTTTTAGGGCCGCTCCTGAGGTGTAGGCCGAGAAACCCGCTGAAATAAGGACCGCGTGGTTGTGCTCAGGAGGGGCTCCGGTTTAAGGCCGTTCCTGAGATGGAGATGCCTTACGGTCGGTGCCGCCGACCCTGAACGACGACGACGACGACAACTTTGGGCTCAGGAGGGGCTCTGGTTTCAGGACTGCTCCTGAGATATAGGCCGTGGAACCTATCCGTGGTCGAGGTTCGTGGTGGCCCCAGAAAGGCTCTTTCGACGCTTTTCCAGCGTTTCTTGCGGTGGGGGCGTTGGTTAAGGAGTGTGGCCAGGAGGCCTCAGACCCTGGAGGATTCTTCATCTAGGGCGCACCAAAAAAAGGCCTTACCTTCGAGGATCGAAGGAGTTGTCATCTCTTCCTCGGCGGAAGGCGGCGGAAGGTCGGCGGAAGGCGGCAGAAGTAAAACGGCGGCAGCTCCGCTGGGGCGGTAGCTCGGCGGAGGCCAGCGGAAGCAAAAGTCGACCTCCCAAGAGATGACAAGACTTTTGGGCTCCGAGTTTCTGGAATCCGCCAAATCTGATGAGGGCGGAGATGATACCCACGGCCAAGCCTCAGTTGGAGCGCCACCAGATTCCAGACCCTGAATTCCTCCGATGGTTCCTTGCCCATCGCCATAGCACCATGACTGGAGGGCCGCCCCAATCACCGAGAAGGTGCAGCTGTCCGGCCTCCCCGCCCGTAGACACGCAACGGCGATGCAGGCAACGGCGATGTAGGTTTCGGTATTGCAGGTGGGGGTGCCCGTGGCCAACCCACCATCATCACAGGGCCGAGCATCCAGAGGGACGCGTCGGCAGAAGAGTGCGCGTTTGGCAGCTCTTCAAAACGAAACAGACGGATAGCGGGCACCCAGAGACACGACACAAGCAGAAGCGGCACAAGGAAGAAGAAGTGGCAAGGAGGCAGCTTGTACAGTTGACTCGCCCGCTGCTGGCGGGGGCGTGGCCAATCCAAGTGCAGGAAAGGCTTGTTCGAGTTGTCCAACCATTCGTTCTGCGCGAGTTCGGCGTCGCAAGAGACAGATCCCCAACTTCGCAGTCCGCCAACATCGCCGTCCGCGCGGCCTTGGCACGTGCGCCCAGGATGCCGCCGAGGGCGCCCTGCCCACGGACGACCTGTACTCGCATGACGCCGAAGCGTTCCTCAAGACTGGCGCGGGGGTCACGGCGCAGACGAGGCTGTTGCGCGGCTCTCCGCGCGCGCGCCCTCCGCGTGGGCGGGCCCGCGGCCTCTCAATCCGCGGCACCAGAGGTCACGACCGCTTCTGTGGGGGTTCAGCTGTGCGTCCCGGGCGCCCGTCGACCACGCGCAGAGGTGGGCAGGGGGATTGGGGGGGAGGGGGGGAGGCTTCTTAGAAGCACCACTGCTTCTTAGGCAGTGCGGGCCTTGTCTGTAGACGGAAGGCCCGCGCCTTCTGAGAAGCATTCCCCCTTCCCGCCACACCCTTCCGCACGCCGCCGCCAACCATGGTGTGATGGCCCTGGGGCCCGATCGGCCAGAATCGAGGGAAAACGCTGGGATTAAAGGAATCATACCTTCGGAGATCTGGGTCGGAAACCTCGGCATCAGGGAGCCGAGAGGCACCGAGACCCCGAGAGAGCTGCAGGAGGCGCTTCGCCTGGAGCCTGCCCGAGCTCGCTCGCCGAGGTGACAGGGAGAGGGCATGCCCGAGCTTCGCTTGGGCTTCGCTTGGCAGTGGAGGGCTCGCCAAAACTCCAGGGGCGAGAAGGGCGGAGGGAAGGAGGGAGGGAGGGAGGGAGGGGAGAGAGGGGAGAGGGACGAGTCAGGCTAGGCGCGCTCGCGCCATATCTGGTATCCTACCGATCCCACCCATCCCTTTCATTGCGCTAGCGTCGTATCTATCCGCCGACGCGTGTCATAGCGAACCTGGAGCTCCAAGAAAGACTCCAGTGTGTTTTGCGCGATCGGGACAAGGGGAGTTGCGTACATGAGAGGGGGAGGAGGAGGAAGAGGAGGAGGAGGAGGAGGAGGAGGAAGTGGCGGAAGTGGCGGATGAGCAGGAGGATGGGCAGGAAGGGGAGGAGGAGGAAGAAGGAGGACGAGAACGAGCAGAAGAAGCAGCAGCAGCAGGGACTGGAGCGGAAGGAGCAGGAGGACTACGGGAAGGCGGAGGAGGAGAAAGGAGGGGGGCGACAACGATGAAGACGGAATCGGATCCAGAAAAGTGGCCTCTGCGCTGGGGTGAGAGCGCTATTCTGAACGACGGGGGCAACGCCCCGATCCTTAAATGAGGCCCACGCCGCAGCGGGCACACCATTTTGCAAGGACCAAGAGCGTCCGGATTACGAAAACACACTGGTAAGTAAAAAGCAAAAAAAACAAAGTGTGCAAAGGCGATGCGCGGACGGGGGCGCGCGACTCTCAGGCCAGAAGAGGAGAGGCAAGCATTCGTAGCGTATGGGTGTGGACAGGCTAGGCGCGCTCGCGCCATACCTGACATCCGACCCCCCCACCCATTCCCTTCCCATTGCGCTGTTTTTCTGTGTCCGCCGACGGGTGTCACAGCGGTCCTGGAACCCCTAAAAGGATCCCGTCATGCCATACGCAATCAGAGAAGAGAACTTGTGTACATTGGAGGAGGGGGTGCGGATGTGCAGGAGAATGAGCAGGAGAACGAGGAGGAGAATGAGGAAAGAGGAGGATGAGGAGGAACAGCAGCAGCAGCAGCAACAATGAGGAAGCATTCGGATCCAGAAAAGTGGCCCGCGCTGGGGCGAGAGAGTCATCCTGAATGAACGACTGGGGCAAAGAGCTGCTCCTAAGATGAGACCAACGCTGCAGCAGGAGAATCATTTTCGAAGCACCGAAAACGCCCGGATTCTAAACTCGACACACACACATGCATATATCTATATATATATATAGAGATATAGATATACACAGATGTATTTATATATATATATAGATAGATAGATGGATAGATAGATACCGCCCCCCTGGCCCCGGGTCCCACACCT